GTAAAACAAGTTAAGATGATACAATGTGATTAGATGTAGTAACAAGTATTATTCAATTTGTTTCATGATTCATTTCTCTTCTGTTCACCTTGTGAATTTCAGTAAGCATGAACATAATTACAATGTATCTAATTTTATATACTTTAATGTATTCTTTAAAATGAAAAACTTATTCTTCCTTAAATTAAGCTGTTCACATGCAATACTTACAATTGTTTTTCAAACATGAGATTTACATAGCTATTTAATTATTTAATTAGAACAAATGACATTTCTACGTACACTCTCAGATCTATCATACAACAAGGTTTTCAGTCTAAAGATCTTTTATATTATTTACCTGTATAAATATAATGAGAGAAAAGTAAAAAGGCAAAATTTGTGAAAGAAAAATCCATCATTATTGCATATACACAGCAGCATATTTCATAATCGAAGGTGATATATTTAATCCTGAGCCATGTCTTTAAGTTGGTGACATCTAACGTCAATTCCAAGACTAATATACCTTTTTTTTATGTTATAATTTTTATTCAATTACGGTAGAACAACTGACATTTTAAAGTACACTCATAGATCTATCATATAAGTTTTCAGTTTAGCGATATTTTTTTCGATTTACTTGTATAAATAAGAGAAAAGTCAAATGGCAGAATTTGTGAAAGAAAAATACATCATTATTGTATATACACAGCACCATATATGAAAGCTGGTATATTAAATCCTGAGCCATGTCTTTAAGTTGGTGACATCTAACGTCAATTCCAAGACTAAAGTGATATACATGTACATCTCATGTAATAACAATAATAATAATAATAGTGGAATCTTATATAGTGCTTTTATTTCCATGTTACGAACCCACATGCACTATTCGAATAAGAGGAGGAAGCCCCAGGGTATTGGTCCACCTGCACAAGTACAACCCAATCAGTTAAACTGAGAGAAGCCATTTTATAAATGCCCCAAACCTTCCCGCTCAAAACATTCCACTTATATTGTTCCTAGTTTGTTCTATATAATATCGTTTCTTTCATCACACGTGAAAGCATAAGATGACGATGAATAATGATAGTTTATATCATAGTTTCGGGCCGCATCAAATCATCTCGCGCCTCGCGGGTCGCGTGTAATAGACTGAAAGTGTACGTTAAACGAAAATACAATATAAATATTTATTAAATTCAAGTAAATATCCGGAAAACATTTCAATATCATATTCGAAGAGAACATTTAGACAGGTAACCCATCATACAAAACAATTAAACAACATAAAAATATGTTAAGAGAATGCATGGTTAATAACAGTGGATACACTGCGCCTATTGATGAATTTTGCTTTAGCATTATCATTATCATGATTATTATTAATATCATTAATATTATAATCATCATTATAATCATTATAATTATTGTCATTATTATTTTCATTATTATCATCGTCATTATCACAATCATCAGCATTATTACTATTATTATCATTGATAATATTGTTATTATGATTATCAGGTGGGCTGTATAACGTACAGACCACCTTATAATTTCGTTAGAATTGCCTTTATTTATTATTTATTATTTATTATATATTTTTCTTATTTCTAACCACTTTTTGTTGGCAAGATAACTTGGAAATGGCTCAATCAAATAATTTGAAATTTGGCACACATATGTATAGGCATATGTACAAAGCACAATAACGTTTTCAACATTGACCTTCACTGATGACGTCATCTAGGCGCCATTTTGTAAAATTTTACGAAAATCAAATCCTGATCATATCTTCATAACCAAAAGGTATTTCTGATTCATATTTATCATGATCAGGGTCAATATCCGTCCGGTCAATTTCAGGTCAAATAACGCGCGCGTGCGCGTACGTCCGCGCGTCAATGCGCGCGCAAAATTTTGAAATGCTCAAAATCGTCTCAAAATCATTTTGCATACGTTTTAGGCCATTCTAAGCATTTTTTTAAAAATCGCGCACACGCGCATGCGCGCGCGTTTTCGCGCGTAAAACTATTAGACACCATAGAATCGCCATTTTTTTTCTTTCATAATATTCCACATATTTTTACAAACAAATTGATACCATGTTTGTCTCTTTATGACTATAAATAATTGAATAATCGACCGTTTAACATAAATTTCAATGCGCGCGAGCTCTTGTAATACATAGCATATATGGGCAAAAACATGCCTATGCAAAATCCATTATAGCTCTTTAGGATGCAAGGTGACCCCAATTTTTTTTCATATTTTGAGCGAGTATGAATCAGAGATATGATTTCATGTCTCATTTGACCCTCAATTAACTCATGACGTCATCATAATGGCCTCCGAACTCAAAATTTCAATTTGCCTATTATGACGTCAGCATTTTTTTGGAAAATTGATTGTATCTTTCTAAAAATTGATTAATTTTCTTTAAAATTTTGATATGTTCTAGCTGAGACAATTCTCTACAAATCCAGTTGTCACAATTTTTCATTTTGACAAAGGCATCATGGCGTATTTTTGCGATTAAAGGAGGCAAGCTAATTTTTTCACATTTTGCGTGTATTCTCTATGGGACATGACTTTTTCTCAAAACTTGATTCTACATTCCCGTCTTTCGCGAGCAATATCTACGTCGTTTTAGCTTCATTTACGCTGAACTCCGAATATGTTGTAGCTGAGACAAAAAGCTATTTCAAATGTACCCTTTATTTTGTCTCAATTTTTTGTTGGATCAGCCCACCTATACTTGTTCCAAACAAGTATTACAAATCTAGTATATTTTTCTTATTTCTAACCACTTTTTTGTGAACAAGATAACTTGGAAATGGCTCAATCAAATGCCTAGAAATTTGGCACACATATGTATAGACATATGTACAAAGCACAATAACGTTTTCAACATTGACCTTCACTGATGACGTCATCTAGGCGCCATTTTGTAAAATTTTACGAAAATCAACTCATGATCATATCTTCATAACCAAAAGGTATTTCTCGTTCATATTTATCATGATCAAGGTCAATATCCGTCCGGTCACTAAAAGGTCAAATAACGCGCGCGTGCGCGTACGTCCGCGCGTCAATGCGCGCGCAAAATTTTGAAATGCTCAAAATCGTCTGAAAATCATTTTGCATACGTTTTAGGCCATTCTAAGCATTTTATAAAAAATCGCGCGTACGAGCATGCGCGCGCGTTTTCGCGCGTAAAACTTTTGCACAACATTGAATTGCCTTTTTTTTTCTTTCATAATATACCACATATATTTACAAACATATTGATACCATGTTTGTCTCTTTATGACTATTAATAACGGAATGATCGACCGTTTAACATAAATCTCCATGCGCGCGAGCTCTTGTAATACATAGCATATATGGGCAAAAACACGCCTATACAAAATCCATTGTAGCTCTTTAGGATGCAAGGTGACCCCAATTTGTTTTCATATTTTAAAAGAGTATGATTCGGAAATATTGTTTCATGTCTCATTTGACCCTCAATTAACTCATGACGTCATCATAATGGCCTCCGAACTCAAAATTCCAATTTGCATATTATGACGTCAGCATATTTATGGAAAATTGATTGTATCTCTGTAAATATTGATCAATTTTCTTCCAAATTTTAATATGTTCTAGCTGAGACAAATTTCTACAAATGCAGTCAGTACTATTCTTCATTTTGACAAAGGTATCATGGCGTATTTTTGCGATTAAAGGAGGCATGTCAATTTTTTACATTTTGCGTGTATTCTCTATGGGACATGACTTTTTCTCAAAACTCGATTCTACATTCCCGTCTTTCGCGGGCAACATCTACGTCATTTTAGCTTCATTTACGCTGAACTTCGAGTATGATGTAGCTGAGACAATTAGCTATCTCAAATGTGCCCTTCATTTTGTCTAAAATGTTAGCTGGACCAGCCCACCTATACTTGTACCAAACAAGTATTACAAATCTAGTTATTATTACTATTCAATGATGAATGCTTATGAATTCAATAGAACGTTAATTTTTCAAGGAATGAAAATATTCGCAATATAAAATGAATGAAAAACATTCAATATTTGTTTCATATAACATCTAAGTAAATTAATCTAAATTATTGTTGTTTATACCGGCCGCGCCATGATGACCCTGCTTGTAAATGTACGTGTCAAAGGTTGTGCTCAGTCGGTAGAGCAGTGGTCTCGTAATCCGGTGACCCGGGTTCGAAACCAAGGCGATGCGCTAATTCCCTTTTGGTCAGACAGTAGTCCTCATTACCAGGTCCCTCGGAGAGGACCGTCGGCCGTCTGGTTGCTTACTTACAAGCATTTATGCTTTAAAAGCAGTCAGGTAAAATAACCACCACCATTCATTCAACGTCACAACTACGGTAAACATTGAGGGTCGCATGATAATATTATAACCCAAAATGCACGCTGAATATAACAAACAAATGCACGGCGAATATAACCGAAAATGCGCGCTCAATGACGGCGTTTAATAGGTTATTTAATCGAATATCATATGACCAACAATCCTCCAATCAAATGACAAGGATCTACATAGATGTTATTATAAATGATAATAACAATGGCATACTAGAAAGAATTCCAATATGCATTTGCAGTGCGTACGTGTCTCTGTCATTCTAGGCGTTTATGTCAAGTCTGCGAAAGCTGTATACAACTGCTAAAACAAATACATTTACTTTGTCTTACTTTGCAACAAAACTATATACGCTAAGAAAATCATTAGCACTTTTAGCAGACTGAGGTAAATGAAATCTAAAAAATATCCGATACATGCGTGCAGAGCTAATTAGAGCTACAGCTTTCAGGATAACCGATTGTGATCGATTTATAAACCACTCCACAGTTATCTTTTTTCGGGTCCTATACTTAGTACACCTCTATTCGAGTACAATTAGAGCTTATTAGTTCGAACATTTTAACAGAGGACATTACTTGGGTTTCGAAAAAAATCATGACAGAGCTTGCACTTGTAAATTCGGACATTATTTTAGGGTCCACTTCTCCAGCATAGACTTCACCAATTTGATATCCCTTCCAAAGCTTTTCGATGGATAAGCGGGCACGATGACCGACAAGTTGCTTGCTGGCATAAGCAACACACGGGCCATTCTCAGAATAAAAGAAATGAATGTGTAGCCGGCGTCGTTGTCTCATCAAGAACTCAACACATTGTATGTGTTGTTCCAACATTTGCAGTCTAAAATATTTGGCTTCTTTTCGTAGCAGGTGAAGCTCACTCGATGTGATGTCATTGAGGATTCCTCCACGTACTAGGTAGTCAACAACATGATGGAAGAGACTATTGTTCCTACTGATGACGTAGTTGCCTTGTCTGTCTCTAGGAAATGGCTCCCCTCCATCCAACATGTCGGTGAAGAACGATTCTTTTTCTCTCATCAACGCCTCTCTGGTCATCATATACGTGCTCTTAGTGGGCACCGTTTCAACCGTAATCCCCACCGACATACCGGCCACCGACCTACCTGCAGCTTCTCTTCTTAGCGCCACTTCTTTAAGCGCCTCGAGCAAAAAGAAGTCGGCTTCACGTTCCAGTAAATCGAACTCATCAAATCCACGTGGTAGCACAAGTTCGCCACACCTCATGAAATTCAGCACATGGCGAAATATCTTGCCATCCCGGTCGATCAGGTAGTTCCCTTGGGCATCTTTATCAGAAGGGATAGCACTGTCTAGCAAGATGGCAAAAAAACTGTTTGGGTACCGCGTCAGGGTGTCCCGAGTTGTCAGGTAGATCTTACCGCCAACATTCAAACCAATCTGATTGTCAGAATGCAATGCAGAATCCATCTTTCTTTTTAGCGGTACAAATTTTCCTTGTTTAATGTTCGATCTTTTCGCTGCAACGTACAGCCCGATAAATTATTCTCCATAAAATTCGTATACCCTTCAAATATGCCACCTGCCATCAAGTTTATACAAATAACTGTTTTGCTAAGAGAATCGTACCTGGTATCCTGCACGCAATCTACATCACAATGGTACTTCGTGTTGATTATTAGGGACTTTTATATTTGCACGTCGACAGCTGTGACTGCAACGTGTGACGTCATTTTAAGGCACTGCGCATGCGTCACGTCGTCTCGGTGGGCGATCGAGAATGCGTCAACCTTGATTTTCCCAAATCTAGTACTGTACTAGTATGCCGCGTGCGCATAAAATATACAGTTCCCCAGGTAGACAGAAGAACATCGATCCCTCCCTGCTATTATGTAAACATGTGTAGAAAAGTGTCACATGCATATTCACCTGTTCTACACATTTTTACATAATAGCAGTGAAGGGATGTTCTTTTGTCCGTAATTTTCATAGTGTTACTTCCTGCATGCATGTTTATCGTCGAGTGCAATCTAAGATTTCTAATTGTAGTCAACTTGGGCAGTTGAGTACGTTGACACGCATGATCAGTCGGCGGCGTTCGTCGTGTTCTCGTTCACTCAATCTAAAAGTCCCTATTGATCTTTCTGGAGCGGCATACGGCCCGATAAATTCTTCAACCCTGGGAATGCTTCCGCTCTGCCCGTCGCATCTGATCCAATCCAAATCCTCACGCTCTGGCTGATCATGACTGTGCACAGTGTGATATCGAGCACCATAAAACCATATCATGGACCTACTGCATGAAAACACCATTACAGCTTCCTGACAAAACCAACAAAGAGCAGCGGCGAATCGGTGGGATGGAGGGGGGGGGGGGCGTCGGCGAAAAAGTAGATATGGATTTGTCATATATAGGATAGGCTGTGCTCTCAATTGATAACTAACAAGCTGTGCGCTGGCGGCTAATATAACATGTATTTCCCCCAAAATGACCCCCCCCCCCCACGCTCTGCAAAACAAAATATCAACAATTCTGATGTCTTTTTGGTTGCTTGTCCTGAACGACACAGCATCAAATTAAATGTTTAAAATGCTCAAACTATTTTGTGTAGTCAATAGGAGACTAAATTAATACATGAACAACAATATTATGTGCGCAATATTATACAATAGGCCTATAACTATTCTGCATGGGTGTAGGAGAATGCATGTTGCAGCTAGTGCGTTTTCTCCATAACATTATAGTCCATTATAACCATCCAAATTGATGCATTCTAATATCGAAGATTGTGGTTCATGTGAAAGTAAAATAATTGTCCTGCTGTATCTGGGCCCCATAAACAGTTGCGATCAATCGTAACTTAGTTGGGATGGATATCAATCAAAACTGTGCATAAGAGAAATGAGACCTCAATTAAACTTGCGTTCAATTAGAGGACTTGAGATTGATTTGGATCAGTCGCAACTTTTTATAAGACGGGGCCTTGATTTAACAATTCATGTTTTCATGGTCCCTATATCCTAGTTAGTGTCTTATATATTGCAAATGCTTATCATTGTATATACATTTGTATTGTCTTTATTGAAAATGGAAATGAATAAAAATGAATTGAATTGAATTGAAATATAAAAAGTTCCCACTGTAATAATATCAAACACCAAGGGGCTATCGACATGTCACTACCTCGTAGTTCTGTAGACACTTTGTACCAATTGCATTGAAAAGCAATTTGTCTCCGGCCTAACCCTTACACACTGTAATAAGGCATTTGATGGAATCGATAATACCATAGCGCTGCAAAAGTGATAACCTATGAAGTAGCCCCTGATCTTTTGAATTCGGGTCATGGATTTTCTCACCTATCGGAAGCAGTGTGTTCGCTACAAAAAAAAACACAGAAAATGCAATAAATTTTCAATAATTTATTGCATTTTACCCCGGTCCCCCAACATAAAAAAATCCTCTGGACGGCCATGCATTATGGCTCAAGGCATGGGCACACAGAATTTTTTGTTATGTTAGACACCGGGGTTAAATGCAATAAATTATTGAAAATTTATTGCATTTTTTTTGTTTTTTTAAATTTATGGAAACTGCCCCCTACCCTAGCCCCCGCTGCGTACAATCATGGTTCAGTGACAAAACAATGGCCTCGTAACTGTGAGGCCCCAGGATCAAAACCGTGTCGATGTGCTATATTAGTGCCCTTTTGTGGGGCATTAATCCTCATTACTGTCATTTATGACTTAAGGGCATAGGTCCCCTGGTTGATAAGCATAGTAGCATACACATGCTTTAGCAGTCACGCAAAACACACATTGGCAAATTATTATTCAATAAAATCTGAGAATGTGTAGTATTATCTAGATTTATTATTTTTAAATTATTTTTTGGTTTATTGAAATAAAAATCAATCACGGCTCGGAAGCCGAGTTACAGGTTTTGTACTATGGAAAACCAAACATCAAAATTACAGGAAGAAAAAAAGGGTAATATCATGTAATAATTAAAGTCGTCCGCTGCGTACAGTCATGGTTCCGTGGCAAAGCAATGGCCTCGTAACTGTGAGGCCCCATGATCAAAACCTTGTCGATGTGCTATGTTAGTGCCCTTTTGTGGGGCATTAATCCTCATTACTGTCATTTATGACTTAAAGGCGTAGGTTCCCTAGTTGATAAGCATAGTAGCATACACATGCTTTAGCTTTAATATTAAATGCCGTAGGATCGTCCCTGAAGCTTCCTTGGAGTGTCGGCATGCGTTACAGCTAGGGATTGTAATGCATTGACGGGCCCAACCATCTTCATTGAGTCTTTGAATATTGCTGACTTTCCCCTATATAGTGATCTATTTACTGAGCCTTAATCTAATACTTTTTCATTAACGGATCTTTATATCATTTAACAATCCGGCAGCACACTCACTTCGCGAAAGCAATATAGACCTATCAAATTATGTAGGTCTCTGTTGGTTTGTTTCGGACTTGGTTTCGAACCCGGGACCTCCCGATTACGAGACCTCTGATCTACCACTGATGAGCCATCGCTCCTCCTTTTATTTTTTTGTGTAAAAATACACTTTTTATATGCTGTTTCATACAAACATTTCTAGGGAAAATGTCAATTGTGAGAAAGTCTGAGAAAACATTTATTTTTGAAAACATTATTTAATAACGAATTATTAACGATGATTAAAGATGCTATGTCCCTTTTTGCAGCCAACATCAAATTCTGTAGAACTTTGCAGGAATTATGAATATGTCCTGTATGAATCTGTGAAATGTAAACGTTAGCAGTGTCCGAATATCCAAATCACTTCTTTGACAGGATTATTAAGTATTGAGTTTAGCTAGGCCTACACACACAGCATAACATTTATATTCGTGCTTCTACTTGTGTTAGGGGCTACAATCCAGTAGACGGATAGCCAACGAGACCTAAAATGATATTCCTGTATATTTTAACTGAATCTTCACGAGACCGATACTTCGCAAGACCGACAACGAGCCTCCTGAGTTTCATCGGAGGCTTCTTTACAAGACAACAATACACGAGGCCACAGGACTGTCGGTCTCATTGGGTGCCGGTTTACTGGGATACCTCGGTATTTGGGCCTGCACAGTCTTAATATTCTACAAACAAGAAAACATAAGAAGACACATATAAGCTTATGAAACATTTATTTACGTATAATGAGCAATAACAACAACGCGTTCTGAAGCCTATTATTATAATACAGAATCTACAGAATAATGATGAATATTCACATTATTATAAGGCCTACCAAATGTTATCCAAGTTAAAGTGTTATTGAAAATGCATTTTTAATCACCGATACATGTACACCGTACCACTAATAAACATTTTTTTTTGTTTTTACATGTGTTTGCTACTTCAGTGTGCATGCAAAAAATCAACACCGACTATGAATATAAATAAATATGGAGTGGTATTTTGTTTTGGTTGTTATAAGCGTTATGGAAGCTGAAAGGAAGAAACATTTCGAGTACAAAGAAGAGTTCGATTGTAATGAATATTCGTAACAGAAAACAAATTATTTACATAATCCTTTATCAAAAAGCAGAATGCAAAATGATCTGCAACACTACGTAAAACTAGTTTTATTTAATTTTTAATCTGTTTCTATCTCGATTATTTGAATTTAAACGACTCAAATTACTATTCCGTAAATTATATTATAAACGACTGATGTGAAAGACTAGCCAACGCAACCTTTCAGCCAAACCGGGGGGGGGGAGGGGGGGGGGGGGGCTTTGGACGAATGATCGCGTTCAAGTCAACGCGCCGCGACGCGACGCTACCCACCCTTCGGCATAAGCCGGCGTCATGAACCGCCAATGTGCAAGGTACCAATTGAATGCAAATTCGCTTTACACCAAGATGCAAACATAATAGTGTCGATAAGACTTAAGACTCCATAATATAGAAATTTTAAATACACAGAATTTGTTTGTTATATACAGCAAGTCAACATATTCAACTAAATTGTGCTTTTGAAATGATATTTGCCACTACTTCTGATCTCAAATAAGCGATATTTTACATTAAATATTATAAACAATACAATCTAAATATGATATTTTTAACACTTGAGTTGTAGGTGCAAATTGGCTCAGATGCTTCGGAATTATTGCACCACCGTATATCCCACGGATGACCAATGGGCGTGAGAAATTAAAACCTTTTTTTTTTTGGGGGGGGGGGGACAAGCTGATATTACTTTAAAAGCTTGAGGAGATAATGAATAATTTAATTTACACGTCATTCTGTAGATTTACAAAGATCCTATATTTCATGACATGGTGTAAAGATGAACATCACTTAAATCATAAACGTATACAACAAAGAGGAACACTTTCTTGGGTATAATCATAGTACGTTTATGGTATAATGTACATGACTTTGTATAATATGGATAATATGGATCACACTGAAATTCTTTATAAAAC